CCTCTAGAGTCTTGGAGTCTTGGAGGCCCAGAAGGGTAACAGATGGGTATTAAAAAAAATTTTTTTTAACGTTTATTTTTTTTGAAGGAGAGAGAGAGAGTGTGTGAGCAGGGGAGGGGCAGAGGAGAGGGAGACACAGAATCCGAAGTAGGCTCCAGGCTCTGAGCTGTCAGCACAGAGCCTGATGTGGGGCTCAAACCCACGAGCTGTGAGATCATGACCTGAGCTAAAGTCAGATGCTTAACTGACTGAGCCCCAGATGAGTATTTTAATAGGGATCTTCTGGAATGCCTTGTCTGCTGATGGCAAGGTTTTCAGACCCAAAGGCAGGCTGGTGGGGAGGATGGCACTGAGGCATCAAATCTGGTGAGTCCCTGAGTTTCTTTCTTACAGTGTGTGCACATAATAAAAGCTTTTGACTTGAAATTCCGATTGACTGGTGTCCTTTGCTGTTTCTAATACACATGACAACACACCTCTCCATGTGTAGCCACAATAAAGAAGTGTTTTTCATGTTAGAATAATTTGCTGCAAGTCTACATGAGAAAAGGCTGAGTTGAAGCCAAGACTTAATTAGTTCTATTTTTATCTCTCATTATTTTCCCTACAAAGTAGGTAGATGAAAACAGTGGCAGTTTTAAGTGAAAAGCATCTTCTTCCTCTAAAAGTGGATTCACATCCCTGTCTGGGAATGACATGCTGTTGATTATTTGGGAATCAATCAACAATTCTCATCCCCATTTAAAAAATGCTGCTGTGTCCTTGATAGGGAAAGTTAGGAAGACAAGATATTTTCTTAACAAATATTTAGTGTGTGTGTGTGTGTGTGTGTGTGTGTGTGTGTGTTTCCATTGGAGGACATGATCACACGCTGGTGACAAATATCCCATTAGCACCTGCAAACATGGGATTGGGACAAAGGCTGGGAGCCACCAGAAGGAACAGGTGAGCCACCTGGCAGTAAAAACCCTATGTTTAGGCCTCAACAAAAGCACAAAGGACAAGATTTTTCTTTGTAGTTCTTTGGTTTTTCCTTCTGCTTCATTGCTAATTTTTCCCTTGGTCTGGTGGATTATCTCAGCAACCCAACTTTAAGAAGCAACAGGATGGGGTGAAGAAAGACTGCCCTGATGTTGAAGCCCTGGGTTCAAGTCCTGACCAGGTAATTACTCACCATGGGCATGTTGCCTAAATTTTCTGGATCTCAGTGTCCTCATTAGCAAACCAAATAATATCTGCTCTCCCAACCTCCAAAAACCCTCTCAAGATGTGTTTAATAATACTACCAAGATACGTGGAAGTGTTTTGTAAACTCTGACTCCCTACACAATCGTGTGATCAGGGAAACTGTGTGGGGGTGAGGTGTTAGAGGAGAGGGAGCAGGTGGTCACCTGGGGGCTGACTTCCACCTCTTGGCCACATGCTTGGCTTCCTGTGGTCCTGAAGGTAGAGACAGTGTCCCATAATATGACCTGTAGGCTCTGCAAGTCTGGCTGCTTCCTACCTCACTCGCCTTGCCTTCTACATTTTTCTTTCTCCAACCAGAACTGCTGTCCATCCTTCAGCTTTTACCCAATTATTGCTTCTTTAGGGTATCCATGCGGGACTCCCGGCTAGGTTACAATTTCTCCTGTTGCGTGATCTTATAGAAGCACATACCTTTCCAAATTTGTAAGGGTTGTTGTGGTTACCATTTCCCTTTATTTAAGTGATTTCATATTAGTATTTGTCTCTCCTATTTGCCTATACGAGGGGCAGGGATAAATTTTGTCTTTTACCTTTTTATTCCTGGTTCCTAGCACAAGGCCAAGGATATGGTAGGTGCTCTGTGCATATTTGTTAAATGACTGAATAAATGACCAGATGGATGAATGAAGAGATGGATTCATCTTGTAGATCCTGTAAAGATCCAAGGATAACTCGTGGATATTTGAGCCTCACCCCTGAGTGGTCAGCTCTGTCTTCCCAGCATGAAGTTAAGAAATAGTGTGAATGAGTAGTTGGGTGAACAACTATTCTGGTTTGCCCAGGACTGGGCACTTTCAGTGCTAAAGCTAGGAGAGTCCCAGGCAAACCAGGGCAAATTGATTACCCCAACCTGATACCCCACCTCAGGTTGGTGAAATTGGTATTGGAACCATAGAAAGCCAGAATACAACTGGTGCAAACTGCCCTTTTATGCTCAGAAATGTATTTACCTAGGAGTCATTTGGATTTGTGTTCATCGACTGGACATTCACAAAAGGACACATATAAAAGGGAAGGGAGCTTTCTGGAGAAACCATGACTCCCAGAGAGCACCCCACTCTGGGTAAGAAGGTAAACGTTGACAGGCATTAAGGGGGCCCTTTTTGGGATGAGCACTGGGTGTCATAGGTAAGAGATGAATCACTGGGTTCTACTCCTGAAGCCAAGACTACACCGTATGGTAACTAACTTGAAAATAAATTAAAAAAAAAAAAAAAGTTGCTGGAGATGGAGTTGCACCTGGGCTGACTCATGTCCTCAGGAAAACAAACCGACAAACCCTGTGTTATTTTTCTGAGGAGGGAACTGTGCTGGGCTATGCCAGCAAACTTGTTTATACTTGTGTTGGTGTGTGTGTGTGTGTGTATTCTTGCTTGAGCAGCGGCTATCAAGAAGCCAGGGCCATTTTGTCCAGAATGGGAGGCGTCTGAGCACAAGCAGCCCCAGAGCTGAGCAGGCAAAGCGCAGCACCAGTGCTGGGGAGCGGGGTCTCCGTTTTGCAAGCAATCCCGCATGCCTCTGAGCTTGGGGAAGTGACCTCTTTGCGGACACTGGGAGTGAGCACCTTTAGTTATTCTTCTGCAGGAATCGTGGACTCTTTAGACTGAGTAGGGGAGTGGGGGTGGGGGGTGTAGATGGCAGTGAGAGGAACAGGTGCAGGGTGCTTTCACCCGACAGACAGGTTTATGGGTAAGCTTGAGGCTCTTCCTCGAGGACTTGCACAAATGTCTGAGGAAGACCTGAGGTGGGTAATGAGGCTGAGGGCCTGCCAGTGGAGGTGGGACAAGCAAAGGCACCCAGGTCGTTGTGAAGGGGACTTTATTTGTAGCCACAACTTGGGTAGCTCGGCTGACATTTGGGTTCCGTTTTGAAGGATTTATAACGTGATTTTGCATATGGTGGAAGTGGAAGACATTGCTGAGAAGCTGATAATTCTGTCCACGTACATGCCCACATTGGGTAGATCTTAGGCACAGCCATTCTGGGATAATCAATTTGCCCTGGTTTGCCTGAGACTCTCCTAGCTTTAGTACTGAAAGTGCCCAGTCCTGGGCAAACCAGAATAGTTGTTCACCCAACTACTCATTCACACAATTTCTTAACTTCACGCTGAGAACACAGAGCTGACCGCTCACAGCCCCATAACGTAGCAGAAACAAGAGTATGTCTTCCTCTGGGATATTAAGAATCCTCAAAACTGGGGCACCTGGGTGGCTCAGTCGGTTAAGCGTCCGACTTCAGCTCAGGTCATGATCTTGAAAGAGCAGACCTAGGCCGGCTGACTAGTGACTATGTCCCCGACATGGCCGCAGAAAGAAGTTTCTGCTCAAACCTCAGACCACGCATCCCCCCCTTGAGTAACTTATGTTTTCTAAGAAAGCAGACTACCGACTGATGCATTCCTCCGAGGTCTGAGGAGGGAGGAAGGGGAGTGTGAGAGGCGTGGAAAGTGTGAGAAGAGGGAGGGCTTCTCTCAGGTAGGGGCCAGAGGCAAGAGCCCTCAACCCTGTCCACGCTTAGAATGACCTGAGAGCATTTTAATAACTGACCCCTCCCCAAACCAATTAAATCAGAGTCTCTGGGGATGGTGTTTGGTGCTAGGTATTTATATAGCACAGCAAGGCTGACAGCCAATGGTTAATAGGTGACCAGTGAGAAATGTTCTGTATACACTGAGGCCAAACATGTTAAACAACCTCAGACACAGTGGTTCTTAAACTTCAGGTGCATCAGAATCTCCTGGAAGACTTGTTCAAACACAGATTGCTGAGCCCCACCCCCAGAGTTTCTGATTCAGTGGGTCTGTGACCACCAGGCCCAACATTTGCATTTTTAACAAGTTCCAGGTGACGCTGATAATTGCTGATCTGGGACCACACTTTGGCAGCCAATTGGCTGAGGCCACGACCCTTCCCCAGCCAATCGGCTAAGGCCATGATCCCTATAAAACTTTTGTGCTTTTGAAACCCGCTCTCTTTCTCTCTGGTGTCTCACCACTGCGTCAGTTCAGGTAGGGGATTGAGCTCGACCTATCTCAAATAAAGGCTCTTTGCTTTTGCATCGGACTCGGCTCCCTGCTGGTCTTTGGGGATCATGAATTCTGGGCATAACAATCTCATGTTTCATGGGTTCCAGCCCCACATCGGGCTCTGCACTGACAATCTGGAGCCTGCTTAGGATTCTCTCTGCCCCTCCCTAGCTCGTGCACTCTCTTTCCTTCAAAATAAATAAACTTAAAAAAAAAAAAAAAGGAATCTACAAAATCACGAAGATATATTGTGAAGCTCCCCTTCAAATTGTGTGCCAGAGGCAGAAAATGAACACAAACAAGGAAGCTTCCTATCTTAAGAGGCTATCCTGGGCCAATAATTCATTTTCATTTGCCAAGACATATTCTCTAGCATTTCTATTTATATCTGCAGTGGCTATTCACACTAGATTTTCTATGATGGAGCCAATTTTGCAATATATTTTCCTTAGTAATGAATCAAGTACATAATGTTATGAGTTTAAAAGCATATTATACAAGTAAAAATCTAAGTCAGAAACATGTTTGCTAGAAAACTATGCCTTGATTTTTCATTCTCAAATTAGGATCACTATATCACCATGATAGTCAAATCCTTATCAAGTTGGGACAGTGACTACCACCCCCAAATGAGGAAAATATATAGAAGGTGGTAAAGAATAAGGAAGGGAAAGGGTTCTACTGACATTCCTTTATTCCGGAGATTCCTTGGCAGAAGCAGGTCCTAGATGAACAGGTTCCTAGGTCTTGGTGTTAGATAGAAGGAGTCATTGGACTCATTTGCTGGGGCACAGAACGGCGGGGGTCTAGGGCCAGCCATCTGGAGAGAGGGCACGTCTTCTTTTCCCAGACAGGCTGAGAAGATGAGGAGTAACCCACCAAGGGCCAGGAAAACACCAGCAGCCCAGCCCAGGTAGAGGGCATCTCCAAACTCCCAGCGAGGCACAATCTCAGGGATGCTGTTATCCCAGAAGTCTTGGATCGTGGCGTAGGCTACCCAGGAGACTGGAAAGAGGGTAGTGGCTGAAGCAGATGTTTCCAAAGTCCCTCCCAGGAGGCAGAGCCGCCTCTTAAATACCCATCTGATCCTGTGAAACTGGAAGCATTCGGACCCACAGCCAGAGAGCAGGAGCCCCAGTAGCCCCAGCCCGTGGGAGGCTACCATGAGGATTCGGGATACCTGGAGCTCCTGGGGCAGAGACAAGAAGGACTCAAAGGCCTTGCACACGGCAACTTCCTCCTGATTCACGCAGACCTCCCAAAGCCCCATGATCCAGGTCTCCATTTCGTTCAGTTCCAGATTGAGAGTCTTCCACTGGGGCAGGATGGTGGTGACACATGAGCAGACCCAGCCGAAGAGGGAGAGGAGCAGTCCCCCAAGCTGGGCTTTCCCGTGGAAACTCCAGGCCATGGTTGCTCCCACCACGGAGCTAGAAAGTGAGGACAGGCGGCTGGGTGACCGGTGAGCAGGCAGCACTTTGGGGGAGACCCAGTGGAAGGTCTTTCACATTCGGAGAGGGCTCTTGTTTCAGTTTTTAGGCAGCAGCTGAGGCAGGTGCCAGGAGCTTGGCAACACTGGGTTTAGGGGTGTGTCCAAGATGGGATGTGGGTGTGGGTTCTGGGGGAGGGTCCCATGAGAGGCAAAGAAAAGCTAGAGAGTAAGCCATCAGTATCGATTTGATGAGTAAATTCATAAACCTGAAGTTAAAATCACTCCCCAGTTCCGAGAGGATGAGAATGGTGTTTTGGGAATATACACTGATAAGATCTTTCTGGAGGGCAACATGACTTCACATTCCATACTTTTTTTTTTTTTTTGAGAGTGAGAGAGAGAGCACAAGTGAGAGAAGGGGCAGAGTGAAAGAGACAGAGAGAAAGAGAGATGGAGAGAGAGACACACACACACAGAGAGACAGAGAGAGAAGCAAGGCTCACTCAAAGCAGGGCTGGAGCTCACCCGAACTCATGAACCATGAGATTGTGAACCATGAGATCATGACCTGAGGTGAAGTCAGATGCTTAAAGAATGAGCCACCTGGGCTCCCCGAATTTCATACTTTTAAATACACACATACTTTGACGCAGCACCTTACCTCCAGGAACTTTCCCCAATTTATTGCGAATATATACAAAGATTTATGAAAATGTCCATTGAAATATTATTAATGATTGCACACTTTGGTTAGTACTAGGTAGCCATTTGAAAGTGATGTAGAAGAAACTTCAATGACACGAAAAATATTTTTGATTCGTTAAGTGAGACCAGCAAGTGACCAGTTTTTATTTCCCTATTTGTGCTTGTCTATGTACTTTATACATTTGATAAGTTTACCATTTAATATTTTTGTAAGCAGAAAAAAAATAGAAAATGCCCCATTCAATGAACCTAGCCAGACCCAGAATATACCAGGAGGGAAGCGCTCTCTCCCCATTCTCCTACTGCTGAAGGACAGCAGCTATAATGAGTGGTGGTCATACCAGCTTCCATACTCCTATTTGCTGCTGCAAAGAGGCAGGTATGGACAGGAAAGGAGATAATTTGCATTTACTGAGAATGGCTACATGCCACACTTCTGACTAGATACTTTATCCTTATTTAATTTTCACACTGCCACTGCGAGATACATGGTGGGTAACTTGCCAAGGTCCCCCAGCTGGTAAACAACAGGTCCAGCTCCTGAGCCAGGGGACTCAGACTGTGACACTCCATGTTTCTGTCTCCAGGCTACAACAGTGATTCCTCCCGCAATGTGCACGCACACTGGTGACACAACATGTGGGGTAGGGGGTTAATCTTTACGGCAACACACAGAAGAAAATTGGGACTTTTTTAAAAGTGTATTTATTTATTTTGAGAGAGACAGAGTGAGCGGGGGAGGGGCAGACAGAGAGGGAGAGAGAGAGAATCCCAAGCAGGCTCCGTGCTGTCAGTGCAGAGCCCGATGAGGGACTCGAACCCACGAACCATGAGATCATGACATGAGCCCCAACCAAGAGACAGGCGCTTAACTCACTAAGCCACCTAGATGCCCCAAAATTGGGATTTCTTATAACAAAGACATAAATGTTGACTAATGTATTTCCCTATTCATATTTTAATCTCCTGATTGCCCTGTGGTGCACCGGGAAGCAGGGGTGTTGGGGGGAGGAAGTGAGGATGAGTATCTAAGGAAACACCACCTTGACATTATCCAAATGGTGTCTCAATACAGCCTGATCAGATTACCAGTGGTGTGGGGGTGGAGGGAGGTGAAGGCTCTTGAAGGCTCTCTTTTTCTTTCGTGTTTTATTATAGGAAATTTCAAACACATACACAAGTAGAGCAAATGGGTAAAGAAATTTCATGTCCTGGGGCGCCTGGGTGGCGCAGTCGGTTAAGCGTCCGACTTCAGCCAGGTCACGATCTCGCGGTCCGTGAGTTCGAGCCCCGCGTCAGGCTCTGGGCTGATGGCTCAGAGCCTGGAGCCTGTTTCCGATTCTGTGTCTCCCTCTCTCTCTGCCCCTCCCCCGTTCATGCTCTGTCTCTCTCTGTCCCAAAAATAAATAAAAAATGTTGAAAAAAAAATTAAAAAAAAAAGAAATTTCATGTCCTACCACCCAGCTTCAGAAATGATCCCCACATGCCAATCTTATTTTATCCATACCTGCATCCACCATTCACATCCCTCCCTTCACACTATTTTGAAGCAAATGGGGTGCTTTTATAACAACCACATGTTCTAAGCAACACAATGGCAAAATACTATGGATCCCTGGAAATGCTGCCTGCTTGTGCTATGTTCATCCAGATTGGTGTCTGATGTTTGACTCTTGAAAACAGGCATGTCACATGTGTATGAGCTCAGGATGGATTCTCTCAGATACTGCTCCTTATTTCCTTGCCTTTTTTTCAGAGCCCTTTCTTGACCATTTGTGGCCATCTGTGAGTTGGAAGACATGTAAACCATGATAAGTGTGAACCAGGTAGGAGGTCAGGTTGGTGAGGGAAAACAGAACCCATTCATGTTATTGATTTCTTTTTACTTATTCAAATATTCATTCATGCCCACATGCGCGGACTGTGTGTAGCAATCCCACTCCATCCCCTATGTTTTTTCTTCTTCCTCAACCTAACTCTGGGTCTTCCTGGAAAACTTGAGGAACACTGTGCCACTAATCCAGTGGTCTCTCTGCCAGATACAGGTGGAGCCCTGCAGTGGCATTTGTGGGTATGACCCATGGATTAGTTAACTGGAGAAGATCTCAGATGCTCAACCTCAAAGTGGCCCCTCCTTCCATTCTCAGTTCAGATTCCTCCTTACTGTGAAACTTTTCTGGTTCAATTAGAGCCTGGGTGCTCCTCCTCCAACATTTCCTCTGCCCTCTGTACCTTAGCTTCAGGGCCTGTTACTTGCCCATGCCCCTTCTAAGGCCTGTACCGAATTTTGTATTTATTTTATATTCTTTTCCTTAAAGGGCCCTCCCCCTCCCAGCAACTGATAAGATTTAGGCTCCACAAAATCTGGATCAATCTCTCATTTACCTTCAAGATAGCAATGATAATATTTCCTGGGATTCTGGATTCCCAGCCTAGTCCATTGTCTGTCATACAGTAGTTGCTCAATAAATATATAATACAAGTTTTCAGGAAGGTCATCTGCAGGTCCTTCTTTCTCACTGGACCTTTCTAGTAACAGCATTTAGAATTCAAAGTGAGGCTGACAGGTCTACTGAACAGAAGCGGATCTGGTTTTCTAGGGAGAGATGCCTTCCCAGTATGTTAGGCTGTCCTTTGTACTTCCTGTCTCAACCCCAGTTTCCTGTCCTTTGCTCATGTCACAGGAAGCCGCCCTAGCCTCACTGGGATAAGCGGGTTGTCCTACAGACACTTAAAATATAGACACTTAAAATTGACAAGGACCTTAATTAACATCAGCATCTACTTGAGGTCAACCCTCACAAGATACCTTTTTAAAAAATTAAACATGACATTTTAACTAAAGCAGTACATGTTTATTACAGAAAGACAGGAAAATATAGAGAAGAGAATAAATCCCGTAAGTCTGCCACTAATATGGTGTATGTTCTTTACCTCTGTATATGTATCTGTATCTACTTATTTTAAAAAACAATCATAGTGTACATAGTATATTGTGAACATCTTTCAGTATGTAACAGTAAATAATGAAACAATTTTTTAAAAAATTTTCATCAAGTTGATTTATTAACCTCTGATAGAAAGTGTTAACAGGCGCCTAGGTGGCTCTGTCCCTTAAGCGTCTGACTTAAGCTCAGGTCATGATCTCATGGTTCATAAGTTTGAGCCCTGCATCGGGCTTCATGCTAACAGCACAGAGGCTGCTTGGGAGTCTCTCCCTCCCTCTCTCTCTCTGCCCCTCCCTCTCTCAAAATAAATACACTTTAAAGAAAAAAAAAGTGTTAAGTATCTTGTTCTAGTCTACACAGTACTAATGTTATTTATACTTAGGTAATATAAATAATACAAACAATATAAATACGTAATGTATTATTATAGATGTAACACATATTTGCTACATGACATAGTATATATGTAATATATGAACAAAGATCTATATGATGTAATATATGTACATAGATTGCATTGTAAACTGTGCAACATAAAAAGAGTGCTATTTAGGGATGCCTGGTGGCTCAGTCAGTTAAGCCTCTAACTTCCACTCAGGTCATGATCTCACGTTCATGGGTTCGAGCCCCTCGACGGGCTCTGTGTTCAGAGCCTGGGGGCTGCTTCGGATTCTGTCTCCCTCTCTCTCTGGCCCTCCCCCTGTTCGCACGCTTTCTGTCAAAAATAAATACATAAAAAATATATATACATATATAATGCAATTTAGTCAGACTTTTAGTTATGAGGTGACGCCACTTCGTTTGCACAACTCCAGAGGGCACTACTCACATAGACTCTGATGGCCGCTGCAGCCCTTGAAAGTGAATATTCAACGAAAAAAGATCAAGATGGGTTCGTCCGGTATTCCAGCTCGATAAGTGTCACAGGTAAGCGTTTTGAAGTTGAGAAAGGTTCATTTAGGACTGATTTTTAAGTAAAAACCCTTCATTTCGCCTAGCGAAAAACAGGCGGGAAGAGACAAGCTGTTTGAAAATAGCTAGGGAGGGAAACGCGTCTCCCCTGGTTTGCCAGCTACGGGACACCGTGGAAGTTCCACGCTAGGACAGTCGCGGTGCCTGCTGGGAGTTGTAGTGCGGCCTCGCCTTCCCCGCGGCGGTCTGAGCTTCGCGAGACTCAGTTTCCCGGCAGGCCGCGCGCCAACGCCGCCGGCGGCGGGACTGGGACTGCCGCGCTGGCCTCGGGAGAGTGACCCCGTCAGCGTTGGTTCCAGTCGTGGCGATGGCTTCGTTCGTGACGGAGGTTCTGGCACACTCGGGGAGGCTGGA